AATGAAAGGGAAAAGACATTATCTAAAGTAAGAGATTGTAAATTTTGTTCTGATTTATTATGTAAAGACCTGAAAGGAATTAGCTCTTTAATTTTGATATTTCTTTCTAATTCTGTTTCTGACATAATTTAAGGCTGGCTGCAAAGACTTTTTTTAATTATATATTACAAAAGTACATCATCACATGACTTTGTGCATGTAAAACATTCTCATTACAAATGAGTGAACATGTATTTAAAATGCAATGTGTTCTAAGACTGAACCTCAAAAAAGGTATGAATCTGGGTAGCAATCCAAATGTACTGTAAGACAGAGCCATTGTATGTACTTTCTAATTATCGATTGAGCTTGAGATTGGTGAAAATAAGCCAAGGAAACCATCATCTATATCTCAGCTGCATGTCTTCCTGTCTTCTCATTCATTTTTCCTGGTGTAAACAGAGTTATCTACCTGTTTATACAAAAATAAAATCTGAAGAGCAAAAATATACTAAAATCACAGAGCAAAGGCAAAGAGCCCTAGAATGGGAGTCAAGAACCACGTCTTTTCATTCAACCTTTGCCCTTTATAAGCTGTGTAACCTTGAAGAAGTCATCAAATCTCTCTATCTCATTTCCCTCAACCATTAAAATAATAATAATAAATAACACTGATCTCATTGGAGCACTGTGGCAAAGACAGTGTTGCATACTTACCATACCATTTGCACTTCCAGGGAACTCTGCAAGACTCTACTCTTCCCAGCCTTCCTTGTAGGTAAGTTGGGGATCACTTGCCTAAATTCTGACCAATGAAATGTGAGCAGAAGTAATGTCAGCCATTCCCAAACTCGTCTATAAATATATCCCCCAAGATTCTCCAGTTCTCTCTTCCTGTTCTGTGACATCCTTAGCAGCCACATATCACATGGAGTGGCTACAAGATATGGAAACAGCCTGGGTCTCTGTGTTACCACCTATAGGAAAGCTACCAATCCCACTCAGATTATGATGTGAGCAAGAAATAAACCTTGTTTTATTAAGCCACTAAGATTTTTAGGTTTACTTGTTACCACAGCATAATATAGCCTATCCTGACCAATAAAAGGACTAAGTGAGAAAATAAACTTTACTTGTTTTATATATCAATGTTCTATACACCTACACAGAGTAGTCTTGGTAGCAATGATGGAAAGCTTGTAAAAACTTAATAGAAATTCTGGGGCTAGCCTGGTGGTGTAGAGGTTAAGTTCACGTGCTCTGCTTTGGCAGCCCAGAGTTAGCGGGTTTGGATCTCAGGCACAGACATAGGGCACTGCTCATCAAACCATGCTGAAGTGGCATCCCACATACGAAATAGAGGAAAATTGGCACCGATGTAAGCTCAGCGACAATATTCCTCAAGCAAAAAGAGGAAGTTTGGCAACAGATGTTAGCCCAAGTCCAGTCTTCCTCCCCCCAAAAAATTAATAGAAATTCTAAGGTTTTTTTGACATTATACCATTACATAGATAACGTAAAAGCTTCCTGAAAGGTAGAATCCAGTCATATAGACCAGCCACATACTTAAGAAATTAGTATATGTCTCTGCCTTAAACACGTTTGAATATAGACAGAGATGATCCATTATACTGAGCATTTCAACTGAAATGACTAGGTAGTCATGACCCTATCACCTATGTTCATTACAATCAACTGTAGACAGTGACACTAAGTTCCTAGAAAGAGTGACCTCTGGCCCAAAGATGAAAATTCACATGAATTTGAAGTGATTCTCTCACATTAAAATCAGAACTGAGAGGGGGCCAGCCTGGTGGTGTAGTGGTTAAGCACATTTGCTAAACTTCAGCAGCCCAGGTTTGACGAGTTTGGATCCCTGGTGCAGACATACACACCATTCATCAAGCCATGCTGTGGCAGCGTCCCACATAAGAGTAGAGGAAGACTGGCACGGATGTTAGCTCAGAGCCAATTTTCTTCACCAAAAAAACCAAAAAATCAGAACTAATAGGATGATTGTGACCATTTTTAGAAATCTCCTTTTAAGAGACCCCTATTCTTGGTTATAATCACTCAAAAAAGAACAAAAAAATGCTAAGATTTTATGAGTAATGCAATTTTGTATACACTGATTTTGTTTAAATTTAAAGTACTACTTATACAGATTTTGAGGAAAGCCCTCCTGAGGACCTGAAAAAGTGGTATTTAAGGTACCATTATTATTTTTTATGTGGTGTCAAATGTTCTTGACTAAATTGTTTAGTCAATCAAAGAATTATTCCCTTTAGAGGCTTTTGAATGGATATTAATTCAAGCCAATAAAAGGAATCCTTGATTAAATCCAAGAGAATTACAGCAGTTCAATTGCTCCTTATTTGATGATTATTAGGTGTTACTTTACAAATATCATTGACAGGATTAAAAAGATTTGTCACTGGATCAGAAGGCGAAAAATCAGTTCAGAGAAGGCTAAAACTATTCCTTTAATTTTTAAATGTATCTTGCCAAAAATCAGACATGTACTTTAGAGCAATCTTGATATCTCTAGAAGCGCATAAATAAATTTAAACCTGTCAATGACCAACTTTAATGAAAGAAATTACAGCCATCTTAAATACTTGTAATTCATCTTTATGATGATACTGAGTTGCTAATTTTAGAATTCAGAAATTAGAAATTATGACAAATAACTGCACTTAGCAAAATCAACCATCTACAGGAGGACAATAAAGTATATACTTCAGGTAAACAGAAAACTGAGTTTGCCTATTCCTGAATGTCGTGCCTTTGCTAAAAATTCATAATGTATCTCCTCACACAGGTTGGAGGCACCATAAGGAAATGCAGGTCAAGTCACCAGAGTTAATTCTATACATACCAATGTATCTATACATATACTGAAACAAAGCAGCTTGACCAGGCTTCCTGAACAGTAGCCTGCCTTCCCACTATGGCGGGGACTATACACTGCCCACCAAAATCTCCCCGTGCCCTTCCTCTTTCGAAAGCAGAACACTTTTTGATGAGCACATTGCTTCCTGGAACAAACGAACAAACAAACACGAAGATAAGAAGACAAGACTGGTGGTTACCAGAGGGAAAGGGGTGGGGGGACGGCAAAAGGGGTAGGGGGTAAATACGTACAGTGACAGATGGAAATTAGACTTTTGGTAGTGAACATGAGGCAGTCTATACAGAAGCCGAAATATAATGATGTACACCTGAAATTTATACAATGCTATAAACCAACGTAACCTCAATAAAATTGCTAAAAAAAATAAAGACTATATGTATCTATGAATGAACATTTGATCAAGTTCAAGGATAATGTGGGACTTCAGGGAAAGCTGCTTAAAGAAAACTGACACATCTTTTGGGGGCCGCCTTTTTTATTTTTTGCCTTTTTTACTCCTCCTGACCCCTACATTTATGATAGCTAGAGCTCCAGAAGCCATCATGGACCCTGAGTTCTGTGCACTAAGAAGGAAGAGCAGAAAAGTAAGAGCTTGAGTGCTTAATGACACTATGGAATTACCACACAGCCATTCTAGTGGACATCTAGACTACTCGTACACAAGACAAACACATTTCTATCTTCTTTAAGCTACTATTATTTTAAGGTTTTCTGTTATGGGCAGCTAAAGTGATTTTAATCAATATAATTAGTCAAATAAGTTTTTAAAAATAGACAAGCACAATAAATTAACTGTCCGGCTAATTTGTCTGTTGTTTTAACTTGATGAATTTGTTTACGTAGACTCAATTTTAACTCTCCCTTATGCTATTCAACAATATTAGCCGAATTTGTTAAAATACGTTTTGTAAGAAAATCAGCACTATGGACAATTTATTTTAACAATGTTTTTTTTAACATATTATAAGAGACATAGTGATAGAAATTTACTGAGAATCCAATTCCTAAAGAAAATATTCCCTCCTAATTCCTCAAAACAATAAAAAAAAAAGTACAATGAGAAGTCCTGTAGATTTATATATTCTAAAGTAATCTAGGGAAGAAGGAAAGAAATACTCTGCCAGAGAACATGCAGTGACGTGATAATAAGAAGAGCACTTTCTAGTTGAAACCGTTTTCTATTATTCCCATTTCCAAGATTCTGTTTTAAAAAATCTATTGATTCTTATATAGGAACAAGGAGTAAAATTTTAATTTCCAAATAAAATTTACACTGAAACCTCTTGATGAAGGCCAGGGAATTATTTGAAAGTCTAGAGCTCTATACCATCATATTTACTTCAGCCATGTATACGAAAGAGGGAGCAAGAGCAAGAGACGGACGGAGAGAGGAGAAAGAGAACAAACCCATTTATGGCCATCTGGGCCTTAAATGACAAGGACTCTATTCTATTGTATACTTTTTTCTCCCCTAAGGACTGGGGCTAGGAAAGCTTTCATCCTTCAACCTAGAAATAAAAATAATAAATAGTTACAAGATTTTAATATTAAAAAAATTCCCAAGAAGAATCTCTCTCTTCCTCATTTCACTTTGATCTCTTTCTCTTTCTCCTCTAAACAGGTTGAAAGCAAAAGCAAAGTGACAATACTAACTTCTTTTTTTATTTTTCACTGTAAGTCACTGATATATTAAACTCTCAGGCTACAAAGTCACAACTTTTTTAAGTCATTATGATGAAAAATAAACCCCAAACCACAAGCCTCCAAATGTGTTGTTTTAGAATTCATATTACAAGTGAGTCTGTCATCTGCTATAAGTGTGTTTATCTCAGTAGCTTATAGCCATTACAGCTTATACCAAAGGTAGAAATACAAAGTTTGAAGAGAAGAAAAACACTATTCTACAGACTTTGAAGTCAGTTAAAATAACATTTAGGCAACCCAAAGTATTTCTATTAGAAATTATTTTCTAGAAGATTAGCATGTTTGTGGTTGATGATTACAGCTAAATTAATTTTCTTTAAAGTATCACAGAACTTACTTAACATCTTGTGGTGGTTGTAGTAATAAAAAATGTATTTTAAGTTAAGTGATGTTCAGGACTTACCACCTCCTCCTCCAAGAAGACTGGCATTTGCTGTTTAAAAGAAAACAAAACAAAATAAAAGACATTAAATAATATATAAAAAATATGGTATGCCAGATAGTTCAAGAAAAAGCTGGTAATGATCATGTCTCTTATAAACATACACATACACACAAAATGTGTATTTTCATATAAAGACAGCCTTTACTACTGTTTTATGATGATATGAAAATTAAAATATTTCACTATTTTTATCTTTTTTTCTCTTCAAATGACTATTTTTATACTGTACTTCCTGACAATAAAAGTAAGTACATATTGTGATCCTTTTCTTTTGCATTCTGTATCTAAATTAATCTTCTGGGTTCTCCATTTTATCAAGCAGAGATTGAACAATGTCATTTAGGCAATTTCAATGATTTCAAAGGACAATGTAACAAGAAAGTATATATGCTAATTGTAATTAAATTAAACACCATCAAATAAAGCTATCTCAAAACACTTTGCAGTAAGAACTCTTAAATAGTAACAGATTTATTACTTTTATCATTAACTTTTTATTTGAGAGAAATAAATTTTAAGCATTTTCGTAAAACAATGCTGTGCCATTTCTTACCCAGTTATCCATTATTCTATCCACAAGATAATTTCATCAGGATTTCTTTCAAGAGGTCAAATTTTCAGAAAGTTCCACTGCGGATTCTGCTGAAGCATTAACCAACCTTATGCCTATGTTTATCTAGTCATTATAATAGCCAGAAAACAGAAGTTAATATATACTGCACTGAGCTGTGTTACATAGAGTTCTTATGTATCATAGGCGTTATCTCATGCCAAAAAAAAAAAAGAAATCCTGCAGCAGTATAAAGAAACTAGGTGGTAATCAGGGTCCCTTTTTTTGTGGAGCAACCTGAGCTACCAAAAGGTTAAAGAAATCATTTAGGAAAGAGGAATAGGAGTCTTTAACCTGAATCTTAGTGTGCTGTCCACAGACCATGCACTGCTGTAATTAAGAGAAGCAAATATCAGAGTGTTAATGATTCCATCAATAAATAATGGATCATTTTAAGAACAAATGCCCATAATCATAGTTCCATGAATTTAAACGTCTGATGGCTTGCTAGTTATTGCAGCGTTACAGAGTATAACATGAAAATTCATGGAGATAAATGCCTGTGAAGATTTTCTCAATACGTCAATATTAGAGCATCAAATCTTGTTTCATATGATCTTCTCTTCCAAGTACAGAGACGTCCAGTTGTTGCTCTTGCCTTCCTCTCAGTACTTTGTCACAAACATGGACTGAATAGCAATGCCATTAATCAACCATAAACAAAACTCACTTCTGATATCATAAAGTCTTCTGCAATCTTATCACATCAGGTCCCCAAATCCCTCTGACTTCACAGTGAAAAAGTGTGTGTTACACAGACAGTAGCCAGGACGTAACGCCCTGCCTCAAATCAACCTTTGTAACTGCCAAAGTGGCAACTTGTTGAAGAGGTACGAGGAAACGTTGCAAATTCTATTTTGGTCCCAGATCCTTTAGTGGGTGGGGGAAATTTCATAATCAAACCATGTCTCTTGGCTGATCCAAACATTTTCTGTTTTCTAAAATCTTAGATACCTGCATTTATAAAACTGCATGGCATTTCACACTCCTGCTGATTTTTTATTTTTATATTTGACTGAGAAATAGTTCCCTATCTATAGATTTTCCAGATCCCTGAAACCCCATCTGTTATCCTCCAATTTTCACATGTTCATTCATTAAAAAAAAGGTATTTCTAAAAGCAAACAACAATAATGAATAGTAGCTTTTCACTCAAATTATCATGCCCAGAAGCACAATAACAGATATAGCCTACTTTCACCCAATGCTTTACTCAATAAAGGTGGAGATTGCCTGTTTTGAGAGCATAGCTCAAGGCCCATCTGTTTAGCCAGGCACTTGTCCAATAGATGTGGATGGATGAGTGGGAGTAGGTGTAGGAAGTGGAATTCCAGTCCTGGAGAACCATCATGTCAATTTATGTCAGATGTGTGCTCATGTCTAGATAAGCATATCTGGTCACATTTTAACATCAACATAGAAGTATTTTATAAAATTGTAAAATTGTGGCATTCTACATAGTGTACCATCACTTTTAAGATAATTTTATGTGCATTACCATTCATTTAATAGAATCTTAAGCTAAGCTGCTTAAATATATTCAGAGGAATTTTAATAACTATAATCCTGATAATGATTTTTCTAAAGAATCCATCAAATTTGTCTATTTTATCAATTTCTGTGTTCTAAAAACTAAAAAAAATTAAATGTTTACTTTATTATAAAAAATATCATCGCAATTTTCTTCAGTAAAAGGGACATAAACGTAGGCAAACAAAAATGAACCTTTATTATGATTTCTGGTATCACTTTACTGTCACAAGGCATCCTATTCATAACTTACCTTCAACATTTATTGGTCAGGTAGATTAATATGATTTCTTCCATTTTATAAAACTGAAAATGACTTGTGTGTCTAAAATCAATAGTCATTTAATTTCTACTTAATTATCCAATACATTGAGGCATATTGCAATCAGACAGGAAGCTCCTAAAGACAAGGTCTGAGTTTAACAGTTTGGCCTGCATCTAACGAGCTCCCAACACATGCTTTCTAATAGTGAGATAACTGCAAGGTTTAGTCCAATTTCTCTTTTTTTTTTTTTTTTTTTTGAGGGGAAGATTAGCCCTGACCTAACATCTGCTGCCAATCCTCTTCTTTTTACTGAGGAAGACTGGCCCTGAGCTAACATCCATGCCCATCTTCCTCTCCTTTATATGTGGGATGCCTGCCACAGCATGGCTTGTCAATCGGTGCCATGTCAGCACCCAGGATCCGAGCCGGAAAACTCCAGGCCGCAGAAGCAGAACATGCAAACTTCACCACTGCGCCACTGGGCCGGCCCCTAGTCCAATTTCTTCATTGCCATTTAAGAGGTATTTATTTGCTGAAGTGTGTGGAAAGAGCAAACTTTGGTCCATTTTCTTCCTGTAAAATCAAGGACTGTTAAACTCTTAAAAGTTTATTTGGAAATATTTAGTGATAAAGAATATATTTATATATTTATGTCCCTACCTAGGTCTCTTACTAGAGGGAATTTTGGACATGCCTCTTCTTATTCCTAGAGTTTCACAGAGAAGGGAAAGGAGAAAAGGAACAAAGAAAACTTGAAGTTTATGAGCATGGTACCACTGCTTCTAAAGTAAGTTCTTAAAATCTCTTTTCTAAGCATGCTTACTAACAAACACTATCGTCATTCATATTTTCCTAAATAAAATGCCCTTTCTATTACCCAAGGAAGTAGAGGGAAAATTTAAGATACAGTAAATGTCTCAAAGACTGATTCAATGAGAAAATAAAATGAGCCATTACAAGTTAATGAACCCGTGTATTGCACTTTCTCCTCTCCCCAAAATAACAACTAAATTAGATTATCAGTTTCACTGCTTGTAAGGGGAAAACAACATTGAACACAAAATGAGTGAAAGGGTTACCTAAATCTAATTTCAAAGTAGCAAATATGGAGAACTTATTTATAATACTCTATGCAAATGGTTAATTTTTTAAAAGTTTATGAAAAATTGTTTTCTTCCATGTGAACCCAGTTTTGAATCTTTTAATTAAAATTATCAAATTTCTATAAGTATACATATTCATTTTTAAATTATTAAAACAAAAAATAAATAAATACAATGTAGGAATCCGTTTCTTGGGATAATTAGCCTAGATTAAAAATGATCATGGTAGTTGCCAATAGTGTCATTACTTTATTTTCTCTCAAAATACAAATGGAATATTATACTACCTTCTTCCTAAAAAACATTCTTTTAAATGACCCTGTGTACGTATGTTTGTGTATGTGTGTATATGTGTGCACCTGTGTATCTTAAGAATATAATTATAATTGGGGGCTGGCCCCGTGGCCGAGTGGTTAAGTTCGTGCGCTCTGCTGCAGGCGGCCCAGTGTTTCGTTGGTTCGAATCCTGGGTGAGGACATGGCACTGCTCATCAGACCACGCTGAGGCAGCATCCCACATGCCGCAACTAGAAGGACTCACAACAAAGAATATACAACTATGTACCGCGGGGCTTTGGGGAGAAAAAGGAAAAAAATAAAATCTTTAAAAAAAAAAAAAGAATATAATTATAATTACATTGGGGATCAAATCATGAAAAATAAAATTACTATATATTATAAGTAATTTTCCATTAATAGAAGCTCCTAGATCAAATACATGCCATAATATTATTAGAAATACAAGACAAAACTATAAGTTATCAGACACACAAAGCAATTTTTCTCCCCAGATCTCAAAACCCTTTTTAGTTTGTACAGGGTAATGGAACGAATTCTCAACTAAGAACCAGGTAACCTCTACTTTAATTCTGCCTCAGTTACAAAACAGCTAGGTGACTTGGACAAGTCATAGTCAACTATCTTGATAAATTTCCATCAGGAAATTTAGAACCAATCAAGCATGGCAAGTAAGTTTCAAACAACTATGATTCATTAATTAGAAGAGACTATCTGTACCTCTGATTTAAGAAGGATTCTGAGGTTAAATCTAGGTTCAGTGGAAAAGAGAACCATGATCAATTAATAATGTTGGTCACAGTCAGAGTGGGATAGGGAGAATTAAAATGGCAGCCCATATGCCATATACTGGGGATCTCTGCATCAGACGACTTCTCTTAGATTTAACAGTTTTTGATGCAATAAAATTGTATTCAATAATCTTAAATAACAAAACTGCTAAACTAACATATATAATACAATCCAGAGCTGGGAGAGGTAACCCATGTTGGCTGTGAGCCACATTGGCTGGATAAGTGTTTGGAACAATTTTTTATTCCACTTGCCCAATAATTTCTATTATCTCCACAGCAATTATTTGTTTTCCCCTTCTATTTCTACCCCCACCCAAGACTATCTGTCAAACAAGCAACAGCCTGGGAGACTACTCTTTAAATATTGATTGAAACTATTTGTGCCACATT